TATATTAACATTTGGGAAATAGCAGTTCTGTGGTTTCCTGTGACTGAATCCCTGTGATTCATTAGTGAAATATTTGCAGTGCTGATCTGTGGAGTTTGCTTTATAGTCAGGAAAGAGGATCATTACACTCCATGGATGGCAAAGACAATAATACAGCAAAAAAGCATATGTGTACAGAAAACATTTGTCAAACAACAGTAAGGCTTTTACAAATCCCTATCCCACAAATACTTACTTATGTCCTTGAAAATGAGCACTCACTGACTTAATACTTTTCATATTGTAAAGGCACCTTTCTTCCAAATCATCAACTCATGAGTTCTATTTACTGTAACGTGTTTTGATGGTTAGCACATTGCAATAAAAATATAAGTAAAAGAATTTATTTGATCTGATGACAATGAAATACAGATATATCCAGCTCTAGTTATTACAGTTCATGAAGCAGTACATGCCAAATTTTGTTTGCTTTACACACTAGCCTGATTTCTATGTGGTTCTATTTAGCTCAGCTACCTAACTTACCTTAAAAGTGTGAAGGTGCCTGTAGGGTAGCACTTTCTGCCCTAGATAATAACTCAGCCAGCACAGCTGTTGTAAGTTTCACAAAGGAATAAGACCAAATTAAAACTCAGGTTTTAGGAGCTAATTAAAATGCCTTTTTTATGATATACAAGTAGATTTTATATGCACATTCTTTAATTTTGGTTATTTGCCATATGCAAGGTAAAAATAAATGCAAAATAAAACACTGAGTGCAAAGTAAAATAAATAAGGATGCGTACTCAGCTTGCTACTTTAAAAGTCATAATTCCTTTAGATGTAATGGAACATCAACAATTTACTGCTGTTTTTCATGCAGATCTATATTCAGACTCAGTGTTTTGTCGTGCAGAGGTTATTTTTGCTGAAATTGGTTTTTTTAGTTTGCTTTTCATCTGTGTGCAGATACTCAACATATTCTTGAGGATAGTCCTGCTTTTTAGTGGTCATGCAGCCTGGACACAGAGAGCTTTGTCCTGTCTTCCTTAGAACTTATTATTTTCAGTAGATTTATTTCCAAATCCTTAAACTGCTTCAAAGAGACACTGCTTTTTAAAAGAGGAACCTGTACAATATCTCCTCCACTCCTGAATGAGGTCTAAAAATGAGAGCCATGCAGCACTCAGAAGATGAGTGCTGTGTTGGGAACATCTTTTTTGCATTTGGGAAAAGGTGAGGGAAATGTTTTCTTGGCATCAGGTAATTGTTGAACCTAATAGTATTAGGTGACAGGAATTACATGTGGGGCACAAAGAGACAGCCAATTTGCATCGAAGAAGTATACTTCAGATTTTGCTGTTTAAATAACTTTCATATATATCTGCAAGAGGGGAATATAAGATTCATGGATATGCTTAAGTTTAAAGTTAGTTTCCATGGCTGAGTTGGGTGAGTGTACCACTGTGTGACTCAGCATATGGAGGGCATTTATGAGGAATCTGTCATTAGTGCCAGCTCATTTTTCACTGCAAACCACATTGCAGTGGTAAAGTTAAATTCTTCCCAGTGGCAAGAAAACAGAATGAATATTGCCACTCTTTAGAAAGAAACATATCGATGGGACATACTAAAATGATGAGCTTAAAATAAATAATTACATGGATGGTAGTTTTGCATACAAGTAATTAGTTTTGCACTAATGTTGCTTGATATTTCTTTTAAGTTGGAATTATGTAATGATCTTCTACATTTGTATATTCCTAATTAGTTTGTTTTAAATGTTAGCTATATGCAAAATAATATTTTTATAAATTTTCAAAATCTTTACCTGGCAGATTTAGTTTATAATTAAGAAAACATTTACAACTTACTTTATTCAAAGAAAATGGATTGAACTTGGGAGTAGAGTTTTGGTAGACTATGGCAATCTTGATGTTTTACTAAATGTCATCCAGAGCACAATTTTCCTATTATATCTGAAACCAAACAAATGTGAACTAATACATAATGTGAGCTAAAAAGCAAGGGAAGATTCTTATGGTCTTTGAAGTATATCCTCATCTTATACAGGGTGCTGATCTGAAATTATTTTGCTGATTTTTTGCTGATATTTCCGGATATGATTTTGGATGTTTATTAATGAGCTGAAAACATAAACCAGACCTCAACAAGATCCCTGGTTAACCTTACCCCTGATTTAACCTCTACCATAAATTGGACACATCTTTGCTGCCCTCAGTGAATACTGCGCACTCTAAAATAACTGTTATGCAAGTCAGGAATAATAATAATAATAATAGTGGGTTGACCCTGGCCAGATTCCCATGACAATAATCCACAATCCAATGAAGCATTCAAGCATTTGTCTAAATATTGAATTTAGTAGGGGATTATTTGCATACATAAACTACTTTATATGATTTGGACCATAAGGCTAAACTGATCAGTGCTACAAAAGTCTGAAAATAATTTAACACTCAAGATCAGACTCGTAACAAGCAACACATTCAAGAATTATTGAGTTTAAAAGGAGGGTTCAGGCTACAGAACAAACTTGGATAGAAGCATATTGGAAAACATATCATGAACCAGACAGGTATAGAAAATTAAACTGGATCAGAAGTGCTCACAAATATCCTATAAATGCAATCTTTCCTGCAACATAAACAAGCAACCAGAGGACAGTCAAACGTACTGGAACTGGGGTTGATTTCAACTATCTCAGAACAAACACAGAAAAACAAGCACAGGACTATGCAAGGACAAAAGCACGTGTCTAAGCAGAACTGATTGCAGCTTAAGTCATTTTTGCTGTCTAAATGTCCCCTAGGCATTGTGAGGAAAGGGTCAGGAGTAACAGAAAGAAAAAAATTGCAATTGAATATAGTCATAGCCTTTTTTTTTACTCAGTGCAAGTGCAAACTCAAAATACAAAATAATTCTTATATGCAAATTCTATATGACAAACCAAATTCTAACACCTTTATGAGCTACTGTCATTAACTATCTGCTAAAATAAAGTACTATAGTAGAAAAAAATGCAAAATATAGAGCACTTTTAATTTGTTCAAAATCAATCTACTATGTAATTGAAACGACTGTAGTCAACTACCTAAATGGAACTTTCATAAGCCTTTTGAAGTAGTAGAAGTGAAAATAATTTTTTTTTAACTAACATATTTATAAAGCATATGAAACCACAATCTTTTCAATCCCATGTACACATTCTTGAGACATAAGTTGTGACATAATTCTGAATACAAATAGGGCAAAAGATCACTGGGTTATTATTTTCAATGCATCAAAACCCATTTCTATTGTTTTAGGTTTAGATTATGTTTAGTGTATCAAATACATTTTTCTAGCAGCATGATAGAATTTAATAACACTAGTGTTATGAAATAATGTCAGGAATGTTCTATTGTATGAAGAGTTTTAATTATAACCTTTTTATATAAAGTCGATATGAAAATCAAAAGGTCTATCTTAGACAGAAATTTGAGCTCTTTCCTTGTAACTGTTTCACAGGAAACAAGATAGTAAAATAAGGCTAGTATTCTGTTTATCTGAATGCATTAGAAGCTAATCAGTTTGGGTGCAAAATTCTACTGATATTTGCAATGCAGGTATCTTTAGAAACTGAGCATGTTTCAGCAAAGTTCTTGTGCTGTAAACCCCCAGCCTGGTATTGCAGAATACACAATCATACTGCTATGACCATTAGATTAGAAGTCATAAAATCTTCCCAAAATCTATGTACTCCCTTACAGCATCATGCCTTAATGTGGCAGTAAAATTTAACATCTGAGGTGGGAGAACAATGTTTGCACCATTTCAAAAAACAAGCTAAAACTCACCCATAATTTTTGTGCTTGATCTGCTTTGCTTCAGCCCAAGCCAACAGCAAATCTCCTATCTTTACAGAAGTGGTGACATTAATTTCTCTTTCCTTGTCTATAACAATCATATTCTTTACTCATCTGGTGCAAACTGAGTTTACAAAAATAAAATGTTTAAGGTTAAATTCTAGAGATTTTTTTCTTTTCAATGCACAAAAAAAGTACAGGAATCCATCACATTGCTTCCATGGGAGACACTGGTATATACATGGATGGTATAAAGAACACAACATTAGCCCAGTCAGCTGCTTAGAATTTGGAGTCCCCATAAAGATGTGAACCCTCTGCTGGTAAAACTCAGTTGCAATGATTTTTGTAGAAAGAAGGAAAGAACTTTAGTGTCTGAGACAAATTTATTTATATGCATGATCACAGAAAGCTTTTTCCAGTATTTTCTTCCAGTAAAACAAGTCGGCCTGGACTATTTACTTTTTTTCATCTGCTGTCTAAATTAGTTAAAGTCTGAAATTTTAAGAACACGTTTTTAATTTATTTGTACCCTGGAAACTTACTTTTATCTAATATCTTCTTTAATTTTATTCCCTATCACATCAAACTAAGCTATAGAGTGATGATACACTAGATCAGTAAAAATCTTTGTTGTTACTTTATGAAAATCTTTTTCTTACTCTGCTGAAGGTTCAGACCTTATCCTTCATTATAGCTTTCCATGAATTATGCTTCCTGTTGATCAAGACTTACATAGTCTTTGATTTTTGTTCACCCGCTCAGAATACAAATAGAGGAAGATTGTAACTTGAGGGTTATTTTAATGCTTTCCAGATACAGAGTGAAAGACAAGATTTACTAATACTTTGGTATTAACCCTTCTATGTGTACATGCCATAAGAAGTAATAGCATCAAAATAAATGCTGAACTTGAGTTTTAGAAGCAAAATGCTGCAGCAATAACAATGGAGTTAATATGAGACAAAATGTTTTTAATATTGTGTTCTGCACTTATGAGCTGTGTTTTTATAGATGTTGAATTGGGTTTTCAAAAAAAATTTAGCAACCAAAATCAGCTGCATTCCTGGCAGTCCCTATGTATGTCTCAAAGGCAGCATGAATGACTTTTGAAAGAAGAGAATCAATAAATATTCTTCTTTCTTCTTGTAGGATTAGCTGATCCACACCCTCCAACTTGCAGCAGTGATAAGTTCACATGTGCATATGTGCAGCAGTGTTTGTCCCTCGCTGCAAGATGCAATGGGGTTGAAGATTGTATGGATGGAAGTGATGAAATGAACTGTCCCATGGAGAGGCCCACCACCGTGACTCCAGGCTCCTGCAAGGACACAGAGTTCTTGTGTCCCTCCACAGGTTGTATCCCGTCCCTCCTGAAATGCGATGGTGTGCCTGACTGCCACCTTAATGAAGATGAAGTTGGCTGCCGTAAGTTACTTTCATTGCTATAGTTGTGGCAATGCTAACTTGCCTAAACTAGTGATGTTTCAGGAAAGAAAAACAACAATATAATGAAGTATAGTGTAACATTCACTATGCACTGGTAAAAAAAAATACTACGTATCACATATAATGCTGCAGAGACACTACTGCAGAGACACTTTACATTTCCAAATAGTTTTGCTAATGCATTCTTATTCCCTGCCTATCAACTTTTGTAAATTCTTAAAAATTTCTGTTGTATTTCTGTTAATAATTTCTACATTTTTTCCATAGATCAGTCAGCTGCATTTCCATTGCCTCTGTAATCTCTAATTCCAATATGACAGATAGACTTTAGCAGTTCTATAATTCAGTAACATTCAAGACAGTCCTGACCTTTCAAGGATTTTGAAATCAAGTCTGTTCATGCAGTAGCAGCAATCTCTGCCCCAAGCAAGGAAAAAGGCTCACAGACAAAACACAAGGACAACAGGCTTTGAACTCTAACTAAGAGAATGTCTGCCCATTTCAAAATATTTCACTATTGGTATATGAACTGAGGTCAAGTGTTGCATTCTAGGAATTTCAAAATAATTAGCTACATAGAAAAAAAAGAGGATTTTTACATATAAAACCTTTTCTTCCTAAACTTTTCATGCTGTAAAAGTTTTTCTAGCATTATTTTTCATCCTTATCAGAAACTAAAAAAAAAAAAAAAAAAAAAAAAAAAAAAAAAAAAAAAAAAAAAAAAAAAAAAAAAAAAAAAAAAAAAAAAAAAAAAAAAAAAAAAAGGTGAAATAATCAGTTTGCAGAGGTTTAGAAATTTGTGTTCTTTAATATTTTGTACCAAAACTACTGAATATAAATGCAGGCCATGCACATACTATTTATTTTAGCAAATTAGTGTACCAGACTGGCATGGATTTGGCAGACTATTTGTGTATGTCTTTTGTTTAGAAGTGAGCTCTGTGGTCTTGTTGGCAAAAGACATGATTTTGGAGATACCTCTTATCTTAAATTCTACATAACCTGAAGGCATGTAGAAATTTTACATGTTTCTTTCTTCAAGCAACCCTCTCATCATTAATGTTCTTTGACCTTGTTTCCTTTTCGATCTGTCTTTTATTGTACCTCCATGCTGTGTCCTATTTTATGCACATCCCAGCTCCACACCACAGCAGTTAACGTAGAATCTCAGAATCTGAAAGCAACAAGATTTCCATAATTATCAGTATCCCCCAAAGAACTGAAATGTTGGGGGTTTGGGGGGTTTGTTTGGTTTGGGGGGTTTTTTGGTGTTTTTTTCTTTGCTTTATGGTTTGTTCAGTTTTGTTTATTCTATTACTTCGACTTCTAAATAATGCCCAGGGATTGAGTGGAAAATAAACACTGGTCTAATCAAAGAACAAAAATTCTCCATAGATGTTGCACACCTTTGGGGTTCTCAGCGGGGTGGAAACTTATTCAAGTCTGTAATCACATTGTTACTCCAAAATTCAGTATAGAGACATGCAAGTATTGGCATTATAAGATAGAAATATAGAAGCAGCAATTTGTGTTTCTTCTATGAAGAAGATACTGGTTGCAGGCAAAGCAAAAAGAAAGTGTTTAGTGTTACTTTGGAATGGAATCAGTGGAAAGCTTATTGCTGTCACAGCTGGTGCTCAGAACAAACTGTGTATGCCATGAGAGCACAGCATTTAATCTCTAGCTTTTTACTTTAAACATGTGAAAAGCCATAGAAGTTTGTCAACAGAGAAAGGTCAGAGAGAAAAAGTAAATATCTCCAAAAATTTATTTATTTTATTGAAATTTATGCATAAGCTAAAAAATTGATTTGCTAGTAAGTCCAGCCTATGTGTACTGTAATAATAGAACAGATTGAGTGTGTTTTTAAATTTTTTTCAGATTTTAGATTGAATTTTAATTTTATTTTCCTTGACATGGATCCAATCTACCTGGTGATTTTAGAAAACTTCAGTTTAGGAATTATTGACACCTTCCATTTTGTGTCCCATAGTAATTTCATTCATTTAAGTTTAACAACAGGTAGTCAAAAATGTTCTGGGTTCTGAATTCAGGAATTTGTCAGGGGAAGTTTTCTCCTGGGATAAAGACTAGTTGTCAAAATGCATCTTGCAGAGATTAAGCATAAAGCTCAAAAGAAAACTAGGACAAAGCAAAACAAACAAAAAACATTAGTCAGATCTCTACTAAAACCACAGTTTCTATCACAGAAATACTTTTCTTCATGACTTAGAGATATATACACAGACAGAATTTCCTGTAGAGTTCACACAGCAGTTAGGTTGTACAAGATTATGCTAATATTATTTTATATCAACTAATGTAGTGGATTTTATTATTAATTGCATTTAACAAGAATATCATGTAACTGTTTTCCAGTTGTAGATGTTCTACTTGGCTGTCCCTCTTCTTGCTGTCAGTTTAGTAAAGGGTGCATTATCTCACCTATTTAATCTAAAACAAACATATTAGCATCAATGGGATGTATACATTACTTTTTTACAAACCCCATGACCATCTTATTGAGTACCAATACCAACAAATAAAAAGTGATTTCTCAATTTTCTGTAGTGCACCGAAATGTTGTAATCCTGGTTGGTTTTAAATACCTAGGAAATATTAAAAATGGTATTCCTTTAAACAGACTTTCTATAGGTTTTATCTGGACCTGGAAAATTAAATATAGACAAAAATCTGATAATGTCACCTGAATGTCTTCATTGTTTTCAATGCCTCTATTGTGCTCATAACATTCTTTACCTCAGCACTAGTAACTTAGCGTCATTGTCTTGAATTGTAAAGTATTTAGCAGTTTGATCCGTTGGTATGACTGTTCCCTCTGTAATGTGTTAAAATAATATGTTTAAAAATTGATTCTATCATTTTAAAACTAGTTTATGAATGAAAGTTGATCATGTTCTGTAATATCTTTTTATGGGTTTTCTTTGGGGTTTTGCTGCCTACAGTCTCAACATTACAAGTTAATATGCCCTCCTCTTCTTCACAAATATTATGTGGGAAAATTCAGTTTCTCTACCATCTGTGCTCTGTATTTGTTTTCTTATTTAGCAATTCAATAGTAAAGTTGTATGCCTTTGAAGATGAAAGCTTGCAGAGGTCACACAGATGCAAGTTTATAGCCAACAGTGCGAATCAAGTATTTTCTGCTAGTTTTTTAACAGTGAGAAAAAGAAATACAGCTGATAATAACCACCCTGTTACTTTTTGTTTCAGCCATTAAAGATTGTTTCAATGGTTCTTTGTTATGTGCATCAACTAATCAATGTATAGCAGTCTCCCAACGTTGTGATGGAAATGCAGACTGCCTTGATTTCAGCCTTGATGAGTCCAGCTGTTCAGGTACTTAGTTTTGTATAAAAATATCATTTGAAACAAAGAAAGTATAGCTATTTTCTACTGAATCTTTAGGCAATCCTCAAACTTGACTGAGTTTCCTCTTCTTAAACTTTATCAAATAATATCAGGCATGAGTTTTCCTGATGAAAGTCTGACAGATGAAAGAGGAAGAAAAAAATGAAAAATAATAATCTTATGTAACATCTTTACAAGGAGTGTTTCTTAAGGTATAAACGTATTGTTAAAAAACCCAAACAAACAAACAAACAAACAAAAACCAAACAAAAAACCCAGAAACAAAACAAACAAACCCTTCTAATCCTACTATACTACTAGGCACTCCCTTAATTTTAGCCAGTTGAGCATCCCACTTGTTAACCCACATTTTTGAGTGAATAGGATTGTTTGGGTTTTTTTTTGTTTGGTTGGTTTTTTCAAGTGTATTGCAAATCCATGTTTAAAAATAGCACAGTGAACTTGCCACAATATTAAGGTTTGGTTTGCAATGGTTAAATGGCGGAGAAAGATAAGTACAGGACAATAATACACATTCAATCTGAATCGATTTTTATTAATAAAACCTAACAAATACATAGATAATTATGTAAATAATTAAATCTAGGTTCAAAGCACCCCATTCAATGATACAAAATTACTGCAGCTGTTTCCCAAGACAATTACAAACTCTGGGCCAGTGTTAACAGTACTCCCCTAGATTTTCTGAAGATACATTAGAATTTAACTCTCTGTTTTTACAATTGTAAGAGTTATGTGATAAAGTTCATAATGTATGATACATATTGCAATAACATAATTCATTCTAATATATTAAATGTTTATTCACAAACTAAAAGTTTGCAAACACTTACTGGTAGAAGGCTTTCACTAGTTTCTTTGGGAGTGAAACTTACCCACAAGTATTGTGTTCATTATATATCACAGAAAGATAGAATGGTTTGGGTTGGAAGTGACTTTAAAAATCATTTCGTTTCAACCCCCCTGACTTGGGCAGGGACACCTTCCACTAGACCAGGTTGCCTATGTGAGAGAAGAAATCACCCTTTAAAATTAAAAAAATTACTGATTTTACAATTCATAGAGAATTCATAGTTGATAAACTTCATTTATAAAAAGCATTTTAAATTAAAAGGAACATGTTCAGAAACTACTTAAATGCGGAAGAATACAGAATATAAACAAGTAGACTTGCATGACAGTAAATTACAAATCTTCCACTTTTTTATCAGAAGCATTTTTATCAGAAAGCAGATCTATTAAGTAAGTAATTTAGTTCTCAAAATCTATACTTAAAACTGGATGTGTCCACACTGAATAGCTCTGTTATCTGCCTCAATAAACAACTGGCATATAACCGGAACTCTCTAGGTCTACTTTGAATTTTAGGAATCATTTTCTTACTAAAGATAGAGGGGATTCTATTTTGATTTTGAGTTTTTTCTTGCTAAAGCAATATAAAACTAAGCTTCAGTAAAACTAAATGTGATGATATGGAAATCTAAGTTAAGGGACATCAAGGATTTTTAATAGGATATCACCAACTACTTAAATACCTTTACTCTTTGAAAGCCTGATTTCTCTAGTTCCTAGGAGAATGTGTTTCTGAGTGTTGAAGTTCTGAATATCTTTAATAAAAGCATTGGTCATACAGGAGTGTCTGTTCATCACCAGTACATAAAAGCTCTTAATAATAAGGTAGATATAGGTACTAATTAAGTATTAGTTCAGTTCATTTGGGTCTTATTTGATATATTCTTATTATTTGAAAATAGATTCAGTTGTAAAAGCTTCATTTCCGGAGTCAGATGAAGATCTGACTTGAGAAAAATTTGAAGCCTGTTCAAGTGAAGCATTAGGATTTCTATAAGATCAAGAGCACGCTATTGCTCATAAAGTACTCATGACTTCACACTTGTATCACCAAGACCACACCTAAAAGAAGTAGTTTTGGAAGTGTTAAGCACCGAAATGACAGGTGTGAATATTCTGCCATTTTGAAAATCAGACAATGACAAAAGTAACAACAAAGAGAGGGAAATAATAATCTTTAATTTTATGTTTGCAGTTTGTCCTGAAGAATACTGCAAAAATGGAGGAAGATGCATCATCAAATATGACATTCCATTATGCCAGTAAGTTTCATCGGTGATTGACTTGTGACTGAGGTTGGATAAACATGCTGTTGAAAAAGATGTTTTGCTCCCCAGAGACTGAAATTACATTCAGTAGAAGTGTATTTTTAAAATTCTCTTTATGTCTACACTATTTTTATTTACATTTAGTGAGATAAACCACATTTTGAGAAGAGTATTATTTATCAGATAGAATTTTCTGTAACTTTCATATGTCATTACATGAGACAACCTGCTGGCCTGACACATTGATTTCTGTGTCTCATGTTGCACATCAGCATTTAACAACACATGCTTCTGTGCCTTATGTGCAGTGGATGTTTTGTACCTCAGATAAGATTTTACAGTAGGCCACATACTCATCTTTACCTTTCTGGCATGTGTTTGGAAAAAGAAAGTAATGTTTTTCCACAAAAACACATATGTTTAAACATATGCTTGCATTTTTTACTGGAAATGCTCTATGCTGAAAAAGAAATAGTGTATGCAATTCTGATGTAGGAAGTGCAAGTCATTATAAAGTGTCTCAGGCTATCTGAAGGGATATAAATGAAGGGATTCATTTACACAAGCTATCACTCTATTTCCCATTGGGAAATTACAGGAGACTTTTTAAAGTTCAAAGAAAGAAATGGTATGCATTATCATGCTTTTGTCCTTCACATGCTTCAGTGGATCTTGCCAAAGAGTTTGCCAGATTAATAAAGAACTCACTGTTTTATCAGAGTATCTATCTTAGTCAAGACTAGACATTAAGAGTTGTCTCCTAGTTGCTAGGAAATGCACATTAATAAGCCTGCTTTGTCTTTCAAGACAGGTTTATCCTTTATCGTTGAAGAAATGTAATAAATAATATATGCAGAAAATATAGGCACTTTCATAGAAGGTACTTTGATTTGGCCTTCAGAAAACACTGTTAATTACCTGCAGATTTCCCAAAGAATGTCCTCTATTATAGCACAGAGAATAGTCTCTGTAAGAAGCTTGGAATTTCATTAAGGTGGCTGTTTCAAAACTCCTTGGAACATGTAAAGAGAGAAAAGGGACAAAAACAATAGAGAAATATTGCAGATGCAATAGAATGAAAAGTCAGCAGAAAATAAAGGGATTTGGAACAGCAAGTTTACAGTTTGTAGATTAAATCATTGATCAAAAAGAAAATTGTTTGTGGGGACAAAGCACTGAGGGAGTAATTGAGATTTTAAGTATACAAGAGAATTATAAGGTTTGAACTAGTGTTCAGACTTGCAAGAGAGAGGAAACCAAACTAGCAAGTCTTCTTTATACACAGAAATAAAAGACAGTTGGAATAAAAATAGTAAACAAAACTACTAAATAGGGTACTTTTCCTCAGCATTCAGTAAGAAACATGATATTTAATTCTGATGCAATGAATAGGCAGAGAAAAGGCACAGAAATGAAAATGACCTAACTGTTGGGCTAACATAACTCCGAGGGCCCTATGTGCTTGTGCTGGGGAAATAGGTCATCTCTATTCAGGAATACCTGAAAAGCAGTGCATGTAGTAATAGTCAGAGGCTTCCTGAAAACTCTGCCAGCAAGGGAAATGACTGAGAATAGCAAATGGAGAAGAAAAAGGGTAGCCAGATCAACAGTCTGGTTTCAATACCATTCAAGACTTTACAATTACTCCTACATATAATAATGGCAGGAGAGGTAATAATTTCTGAGGTGAACTTCTGCATGATTTTTTGAAATCCCACACCATTGGAAAAAAAAAAAAAAGAATAAAAATGTACCTAAAATAAAAAATGTAGAAGTATACCAGTTTTCATTTCCTAGGGAAATTTTTATTTTCACATGTGTGTGCGCACATGTGATTAATTTCGCTTAAATATGTAAGGTGAATACTTAGGGCATCAACTTGGCTTTCTTTCAGTAGTAAGTAACTAAGAGGCATGGAAGGTTAGTAGCAGGTGAAAGGTGAGCTCTGACATCCCTCTATGAAGAGATATGTGTAGACCAGGTGGAAAAGGGGGCAGTGGGTACAAGTCTAGATAAAGTTTCAGTATATATTGGAGTGGGTAACAGAGCTGGCATATCAGCTTGCTGTATTTTCTGTCCATACTACTGAGAAAAGCTTCTCTTAGCTGGTGCTTAATGATTGCGCTAATATCAGTGAGAGGTCACAGTATTTGAGAATGAGACTATTGATCTACTCATGGATGTTCTCAGTGAGAGTTTGTGAATAAATGCAGAGAAATGATGCTTTGTGGGTGATGATTACCTTCCTACTTTAATGAAACAGTTTGATGGTTGTCCTGGTCCTCCTTGGTATTTGAATTTTTGAGTTAAGTTTGAAAGGCACTTGCATTTGCTTCTCCTATTTGTTCATAAGGCTAGTTGGGGTGCACATCAAACATGGTTATCTTGTTCTTACTATTTCATGGTTGTTTTCTTTGTCTGCCAAACTAGATGGAGCTTTTGTCTGAAATTCTAAGGCCACTCTCATTTGACAAAATATATCTCCTATTTGTCCTGACGGAGGTCCCTTCTGTAGTCATGCAGCCAAGTGTCTGGTGCTGGCAACCAGCTATTGCGATTGCACATGCAAATCATGATCGTCTGAGCAGTAATGATTAGAATTTTTCAATTTCAATCCTCTGATTTCAAAATCATTCCTTTGATTATATGTATGCTTTCCCCAACTCTTTGTCCAGTGGTTTTTTGTGTTTGTTTTGTTTTTGTTTCAAAGTAGACCCCAGACCTCTGGAAATATAGGAGAGGGATATAGACGAGAACAAGAAAGCTGGGAAAAATGTGTTTGTAACACACTGAAATGGAATGGTGAGGCTTCAAAGACTGTACTAGTGTTGAAAAAAAGAACCACTAAAAAAAAAAAAAAAAAATTACCAGACTCTTAATGCCTAAGTTTCATTCTGATCTAAATGGACAAGAATAATGCAAAACATGCACATTTAAAATGTACTAAACCTCACATATAGTAAATATCAGATCATTGTCAAATCAGCAAATGGTTTGGGCTGGAAGCAACCTGTAAAGTTAATCTAGTTCAACCCCTTGGAATGAGCAGGGACATTTTCAACTAAATCAGGTTGCTCAGAATCCCATCTTGAATCTACCACATTTTTGGGGAACCTGTTCCAGCATTTCACTATGTTCATTGTAAAAAATATCTTCCTTCTATCTAGTCTGAATCTCCTCTCCTTTACTTTAAAACCACTATCCCTGATCCTATTGCTGCAGGCCTTTCTAAAAATAGAATGGAATGAAATAGTTTAGGTTTGAAAAGGCATAATACAGTGCTTGACTTTCCTTTTATTTTATACAAATATTTTCAATGTAATATACCAAATTTCAGAGCAGTTACACTGACTAGTAGTTAAGAGTATAATGAGTGATAATGAATATAATAGAGTGATCTTATTAATGTTTGAACCATGAGAAGGTTCTATCCTTTAGCACAAAAAACGTAATTACATTCACTGGCCTGTAATTAAAAAATCGTGTTAAAAATTAGAAATACATCTTCATTAAACAGTTTTAAAATTAATTGAATACATACCATCTAGCTAACTGAGCTGTAGAGATTAGAATTCCAAGGAGTCAGTATACATAGATAATTAATTTTGGTTGTTTTTGTAGTTGTATATCGAAATGTTGATTTGGCCCAAAAAATAGAAACTTATTTTGTTTGTTTCCTTTATTTGATAACAGCAAAGATTACTTTTCCTCTATGTTTAAGAAAAATAATTTACAGGGTAGTAATTAATTCAGAGGAGAGGAATTTTTGCTTATTCTTCTTAGAAAAACTAAAAGTTAATTGGTTCTCTATTTTTTGCTTCTTTTCTTCTCACTTTTAAAATGAGCTTATTATTATAACAGAAATGAACTATTTTAAATTGCAAATGAAGTACTTTATTCGCAGTGTTAAAATGGCAAGCAGTATTCCACAGAATTAAAAAAAAATACTTTTTTGGTAGTGGAGACATTTTTTCAGAATATGATTTTTTCTTCAAAATACTGACTTCTGGTAAGTACAATAAATTTTGGAGAAGGAGCCCTGGAAAGTGGCATGCAGCTTTCAGCAATGACTTGGTAGACTGATACCTTTTCCATTTGAGTATCACATGTGACAAAGGAGGGAAATTCTTATCCTCACTAGACAATATCTTCCAGTGAGAAATGTAGTTGTTTTGTTTTTTTCTAAATATGTTTTACTTTGGATGTACTCTTACCTGTGCTTTTTTACTATTTTTTGAGGACTGATGGTGGTAGTTATCTTTAAAAACTAAAAGTGGGGAGATTATTTTAATATCACACAGGATGTCATGAAAATGGAGTGATAATGGTATTCCAAACTTTAAAATGTTTGGAAGCTTCTGGACTGTAATTTGATGGAAATGCAAAGTCTAGAGACTGACAGTATAGAAACACCCAATTCATAAGTAAAGTGAGTTTATAATGGGAGAAGATGGCAGTTTCCATTTCAGCTGTTTATCCTGCTGCTCTCAGAAATTCCCTCTTTAGTTGAGGAGGATTGCTGACACGGTAGCTGCTGAAGCACAGCAGACTATTCACTGTTCAAACAAACCAGATTGAAAGAAACAAAGCAAAAAAATTGGTACTGAGTTAATTTCTTTCCTAATAATTTCCTTTTAGATTTATTGAACAAGGAAAATAGGATAAAGCTATATCTATATCTATATCTAGCTATATCTAGCCTATATACCTACCCAAGAAATTAGGGGTCATGAAAACCAATTCTACATAGAGGAAGAATAAAACATGGATGTAGCCATGAATAAAAACAAAAGCCATGATGAGTAGTCAAAAAGATACAGCATTGGATCAAATGCTATGCTAAGACTTGGCTTCTGGGAAACAAAGACATATATACATAGCTACCACAGAAAAACTTTTTCACATGTCTCTCCATTACCCGAGTGCCATCTGAAAAGTGATATTGAGGCAAATAAAATTACAAAATCAGGTTGCCTGAGTTGGGAAAAATTGAA